TGAACAGACCCTATCAAACAGCGGCATCCTTTCCGCCCTAGAAAACCTCTTCTTAGCGATGTTAGCACAGCCACCTATAACTCTGCAATAGCAAAGGTAAATGAGTCCTTTTTATTCAGCTTGTGTTTAACTGCATACCAAAAGTAAGTGGTATATTATATAAACTTATACCTCCTGGTTTTGATATTGTCACCTGGGGGGGGAGGACCCTGAGCCTCCACTCTCCTCTAAGGACACATAGCTCTTACACTGCAGAGCCTGGCTGTCTTCTCCTAGCCTTTTAAGGGATTATGATAAAAATTATGGCCACTCTGCATACTCTATTGGCTGCCATTTACTACCCCATGCATGGTACTTTCTCTAACATACTCTTCTCTAAGGTACAGATAAAATATAAAGAGGTATCTTTGTCACTCATTTCAGTGTATTCACTATTATGAATTAGTTAAAATAGAAATAAAATAGAACAAACTCTTATTGGTTCTTTGTTTCCCAGAAATGCAAAAATACAGTGTACTTTACATGTAGCTTTGTATCAATTATATATTGTACATATTATAATTTTATAAATTTATTTCTATATTTTATTCTATGTATATTTAATGTATCCATATGTCGTGCTATTAATTTCTTTCCGGACATTCAGAATGCACTTCATATGATTTGAGGTTGTTCTGATTTGTTTTGTTGGTACTAGAGATTGAACTTAGTGCCTTTACACTAGCCACAGACTCAGCCCTATTTTATTCCTTTACTTTGATGTAGGATCTTGCTAAATCCCTAAGCCATCCAGTCTAGGCTTGAACTTGTGATCTTTCTGCCTCCGCCTCTCAGAGTGCTAGGATCATATGCATGCACCACCATACCCAGTCAACAGTTTGAGATGTTTAAAATATTAAATACAAAACTCCCTTTTACTACAATTATAAGTAGCTGAAAATTAGTGTGATTTCCACATTTCAGGTTAGTATTATAATGAAATCTTTTACTTATTACATGAATCACTGTAAAAAGACCTGAAGTAATAAATTAAATATTCTATTGACAAATGAGAGATTTAAAACTAAGTATAAATTTTACTTCATTCAATTGTATACATGAATTAAAACTTTTAATTTCCATAAAAACATCTTCAATGAAATATATTAATAGTTACTTTTAATATTTTGGCCCTTGTAATCAATACAAGAATAATTTGTCAAATCCTAGGTTTTCCTAAGTAGCAATTGCTTTATTCCAAAGATGCAGAGTAGCCCCCTAACCTCTTCTATAGTAGTGTCTGTTAATGCACCAACATGGAGCTCCTCAAGCTGCAATGTGTTGTCCCGGCTCAGCTACTATAGCAAAGATTAAAACTCCTGTATATATCCGAAAGGGCATTTCTATTGAATTTATTTGAAAATATAAAACAATAATTTTTAAATAGGAATTTAAGTTTCACTTCTTAAAAAAATCCATGTATGCCAGTTGCTGAATGGTCACAATCTGTGTCCCAGAAATATATGCACAACAACAACTTGGAGGGATAATTTTCAACTTTCAAGAGTCTTAAAAAGCAAATTTGTCATTAGAAACAATGTAAACAAAGGAAAAAAGAAAAAAACCAAAAAGAAAAAAGCCAAAAAGAAAAAACCCAAAATGGATCATAGACCTAGATGTAGAACCTAAAACTAGAAAATGTATAAAACAGGAAAAAATCTTTGTGACATGAAATCAAGCACAGAAAAATTAGATATGACATAAAAGTCTAATCTACCAAAAATAATTAAGACATCAAGATTTAAAACTACTTTTTCAAGGGACTGTGAAGAGAATGATAAGACAAGCATCAGCATGGAGAAAAATACTCATGAATTGTATTTCTGATAAAAGGACCAGCATCTAAAATATACAAAGAACTCTCAAAATGCAAATATAAGAAGAAAACTTGAACATGTGGTGATGGATATGCAATTTGCTTAACTACAATAATAATTTCACTGTTTTATATATATGAAACCATCACATTTTATACCTAAAATATAGATAATAATAAAAAATGGGCAATTACAATGAGTAGACGCTTCTCGGCAGAAGAAAAAATGACCAATAGGTACACGAAAAAAATGTTCATCTTTGGCCATTGAAGAAATGCATCACAACAACACTGAGATTCTACCTTACTCCAGTAAAGGTAGCTATAATCAAAGACTCCAATAATAACAAACATTGATAAGGCTGTGGGGAGAAAAGAACCTTTCTTCATTATTGATGGGAATATAAACTAGCACAACCACTATGGAAATCAGTATTGAGATTCCTCCAGACACTAAAAGTAGATATTTCATTTGACCCACCTATACCTCTCCCTGGCATTTTCCTGAAAGAGTTAAAGACATCATATTACAGAGGTACACGAACACTCACGTTTACAGTAGCACAGTGCATACTAGCCAAAGTATGGATGTGGTTTACATGTCCACCAACAGATGAATGGATAAAGAAAATGTGGTTTAAATACAAAATAGAGTACTACTCAGCTCCTTGGAAAACTGGGCAGATCTTGAGACTAAGTGAAACAAATCAGACACAAAAGGTTAGAATATCATATAGTTTCTCTTATATAAGAAACCCAAAATATATAAAAGTTTAAAAGTGGAAGAGAGATGATGGCTAAAGCAGGGAGGTAGACTTTGTGAAGGTGGAAAAGGAAGGACGGAGAGGTGAAGGCAGGGAGGGAGGTAAAAATCAAGACGTGAAATGTGTGCATATTATTATGAACCACAAGCATGTATTACTGTACTAATAATAAGAAAATACCAGAAATTTTTAAAAATAAAATAATCTAGTTCTTAAAAAGTGGTCAGAAGATTTGAGCAAACATTTCACCAAAGAAATGTGAACTATACAGTAGATTTCCAAAATTTTATAGACAAGATGAATGTACAATATCTCAATATTGGCTTCTACATTTAGTACAAGTTGAAATTATATTTTCTCTGTATTAAGTTCAATAAAATACATTGTTAAAACTGCCAGTTTCATCTCTTTAATGTAACTAGTAGAAAGTTTAAAATAATCTATATGACATACATTTTTCCATTATGTAACACTGCTCTAAAAAGTGAAAAGCATGTCACATTAATAAAGCCAACCCTCCACAGAATCCAGTTTAGAAAAAATCATCTAAGAGGCTTCTTATGGTTTAGATCTAGAATGTCCCCAGAACTCCCATGCATGCAGAAGAAAGGCTTTTGGAAGCTGATTGGAGCATGGGGTGATATACTCATCAGGGGAGCTTGCAGAATGCAAGAGTATGAAATGCTATCTGTTGAGAAAAGTTGTAGGAAGTAAGAAAGGCCAGCCCAAGAGAGAGATCATGAGGCCTGCAACTGCCAATGCCATGAGGGCTGCCCAAGCTTTTTGGAGTATACATTTCTCTACAACTCGCCCTAGATGTGGCACACGAAGCTACAAGATTTAATATGGCCTCCTTAGTATAGCCTATGGCACCCAAAGCATCCTGTAGTTGATTCACGTATTGCTGCACTAATTACATTGTAATTACTTCTGTAATTATGTCTGACATAAGACTGAGCTTTGTGGGGACAAGGATTCTTGTCTGTTTTGTTCATCAGCATGCCCCCAGAATGAGACAGGACAAGATGCAAAGCCAACACAGGTGGATTTAACATGCTGCCGGGTCACAAACTTGACTCTTTCAGACATTCTAAGAGAAGTATAGAGTGCCTCCCAAAACTGTCCCCTGACCAGGCGAGGTGGTGCACGCCTGTAATCACAGCACTTGCAGCCAGGGAGGAGGATCTCCCTCTTGCGCCATACATTTTAGATTAATTTCATTCTTGGACTACAACAGTTGATTACTTGCCTTAGTGGACTGGACCACAACATCTGCACCTTCACAAACTTTTGTCTTGTTAAGCCATTGTTGCTGCATTTACTTACTCACCATTTCTACTGGGCATGGAAACACAAAAAGACTCCAGTGACTGCCCCAGATTTAGAGACATACCATATGTCTTGCTTTTTCCCACTATGGAAGAAAATATTCATAATATTCTTTTATGTAGCAAGTCTTCATAACGATCTGAGTCTCCTCTACCTGCAAGGCACCTACATAACCAAGCTATAGCTTTAACTTTAACTTCTATGGCTCCTACTTTATTTCCTGGTAGAAGAAGAGTTCTTCCAAGGAGACCAGAACCTCTAATCTGGTAGATAAATGGGAAGTGCAAATTATGCCCTTGAGTTATTTAGAGGCACTGTGAAAAAGGCCAATACTGTTTCCACTTCGTAGTTCCCAGCTCATGTATTGTAGCTATAAAAGGATACAAGAAGCTATCCATCATCAATTGGTTTTCTGATAAGTATCCCAGACAATGGAACCCCAACCTTGTCTGGGTGACTGTTCCTGAGCTACCCAATGTTCCTTCAGCCCAGGGGCTTCCAGGCAACGCAACATATATGGTAGGACCAGAGATCCTGGTCATGTGCCCATTGCTCTACCTCCCATACCATAAAGTGTTTTCTTTAGTCAGTGGAAGTATCTATGAAAAATCATGTGTTTGTAAGTCTATCACATAGTTGGGCTAACAGAGCTCTGTGAACAGGAAAAATTCCTATCAAGAGACATGTCAATTCTTTAAGAACAAACTACGACTCTTTCCAAGAATATCATCCTTTCGGCTTTCAGGCCTGGTGGAACTGTATCCCACCCAGTGGAACCACCTCCATAGTAAGTTCTGGCACTGCCTTTCTGCTTTCCTCTCTCTTCCTTCCTTTTAATCTACCTTCTGCTTCCTGGGATGATCTTCCAAACAAACCGCCTGCACACTAGTCCTTGTCTCAAATTCTTAGTAAAGGAGAAGTCAAGTTCAGGTGGAATGACACAGACTATCCCAAAATTAGATGCCCCCAACTTTGGAAGACTGAATCATTACAGGATTTATCTCTACTCTTTGCCACACATGTATCTTCCCAGTATCTAGTACAGTACTTACTTCCTTTTCTCTAGATCTAGTTAGCATGTCATGACTATAGGTCAATACGAAGGTGATCTTCAACATTTCGTGATAATCCAAATTCCTGTATGAACAAATCAAACAGAGAGCAGCAAAGTTAATCTAACCCTAGGAGGGAGAAGTGAATATGTATTCCAGTCAATTTCATAAAGAAGCCAACTACTCTTGTACCACTTTACCGGCACATAATGGAACATTTCCCAAGTCAAAAACCACAATGACAAATATGAAGAGTCTTTTTATTCTAAGAAAAATTTGACACCTTTACGATTGCGATTGAAGCTACCACTTGGCTAAGTTCACAGTTGCCCACCAAAATAAATCTAACTACTCAAGAGGCCAAAATAATCACAAATGGGGATGTGACAGAGTTCATTATTTTTACATTTTAAAAGCCTCTGCTAGCCAGGTGCGGTGGCACACACATATATAGCAGGCACTCTGGGAAGCTGAAGCAGGAGAATCTCAAGTTCAAGCTCAGCCTGGACAACTTGACAATTTAGCAAGAACCTGTATCAAAATAAAAATAATAAAAGGGCTAGGAATCTAGGGATTTAGCTCATTGTAAAGGTCCTTGGTTCAAACTCTAGTTTAAAAACAAAAAAAGCCTCCATGGGTGGTTGAACCTCTGAAAGTCCTCCTAAGTGCAATTAGTGTTTGATTTGCCTTTCACCAGGGTGGAAATGCTTTCAGAAGCTTCCACTTGGCCCATCCTACCATCATAACTCTTACTGTAGACCAGCAGATCAGAGAGGACTCTATCAGTTGCTAAGTATATGAATACCAGCCATGCCTTCTGGGAGTCTACAGACAAACTGAAAGAGTAAGGCAAGAACTCCTCTTATCACTTCATCTCCATTTTGGGTCCTAGTATCAGTGTTAACTCAGTTCCTGTGTGAAAAAGTCCTTAAAAATCTGGTAATTCACTTTCCACAGCATGCGAATTTCTGGTTAAATAGTTTCAGGACCTTTGGGAGAGGTACTGGGGAACACCTATTGAAGATACATGCAACTGCACTACGAGGTTCTTCCTCAAAGGATCTGCTTTCCCTTACTTGGTAGGTCTTGCTGTGAGGTGATCTTTCTTAAAACCACTGACTGATGTTGGGCTTTTGTTCACTAATTCTTTGTTCTATTTAGTCATGAAAAGCAAAACGATTAGGCTCCTAATCTGTCTCATATTTAAGAACACTTTGAATTTGAGTGCACGAGGCAGGGCAACCTAATTGCCACTCTGACTTTCGTGATGGTCACAGTAATTATATTCACCTTGGTTCTGTTGTCTAAAAGCTCCCACTGGACTTCCACTACCCCAGTATCCCATCACCTGCATCATTCCTATTAACATTAGGGAGCCTAGGTCCATGGAAACATCTCGGAATGATACCTCTTTATCCTCAATACACCACAGGTAAGAACTTTAGTAACTATGATGCCACAACACACCAAAAGGTATCACCACTGTATTTAAAGAACAGAGTTCAGATAATCCAGTTTAGTTTTTAAGGATATGCACTTTAAGCTTTCTACTTCCATAAGTTTTTTTTTTTATCTTGGTACTCCCCCAAAGTATATCTTTAACTATTTGTATAAAGACAGTTTATTTGGGAGGTAATCCTAGTAATCCATGCTGGAACAAAGAGAAGAATGCAGATGGTAAGAGTGTGTTATTGAAGTCACAATTGTGGACAACCAGAATTCAGTTTATCTAGGACTTCTTGAGATGCACACACAATACCCTACTTACTAAAAGCTACAGAACAGGAGTGTTTAACCAACTGCTACCGTTGCCTCTTGGTTGAAGGGTCCCAGATGTGTTAACCTACACCCACTCCAGCTGTGCAGGGCCTGAGCTGAGGAAGCTACTGAGAGCTTCCTACAAAGTCAGAAGACCCTTTGGAGAGAAAGCAGAGGTCTAGTAATGTCAAGACAATAGACGACGTTAGGATGAAATGAATGGAAGCTTATATGAAACTGTCTTCTCCAGTCTAAGTAAAAAATCAGAGGTGAAGCTCTGAACATGTGAGCTGAGACTCCAAAAGCTTCAGATATAACAGGATCGTTAGCTTCTTAGAATTTAAAACTAAATCATGGTTGCAAAGTCCTTAATTTTGTTTACCATAAAGTTATTACAAAAGAAAACAGGTAGTAATGAATGGGAATTTCAATTTACTATAAACATTTACTCTAAAATAAAGACACTATCTCATGCATTTTACATGTCATTTACTTGAAACGTCCAGTTATTTCGTTGATAGGGTGGTCAGGTGCCATACAAGCAGTGACTAGAGGAAATTTAGGAAGAAAACCCCATGGCTATCTGCAACACAGCAGTGTCCCATGCAGAGGGAACAGAAGATAAAAAGCACGCATATTTGGTGTGCTTGGAAAGGGTCAGGTAGGCTCTGAAAATCAGCTTAAATGTGACTCCTTAAAAATAAGTCACAAGCCATGGTAAGTGTTTGGAGTATGAGGAAAATGGTAAGTCACTGAAAGGTTCTGGGTAGAGGAATAACATAACTCTCACAGATTCTAAAGGGTTCACTCCGGGTGTTGAATGGAGCTATATTATAAAGAAATACAGAAAAAGCAGAAAACACTGTTTGAAAGATGCTGTGATCACAGGCATGAACAGATGGTACTTTATAACATATCTGGTACTATCAAGTGTTTTATACTACTTTTACGATATTGGGTGTATCCTGTAACTCCTTCAGGGCAAAAATTTCATAACTGTAATTTGTGGAATATGAATATGACCTGTACAAAGTGTACACATGTACATTTTGCAAGTGTACATATGTACACTTAACAATGGCTTGATAAATAATAAATAGCTGGTAGCAGAATTAAATCCACATTATTCAGGGACAGTAGGATATCACTAAAAGGCTGACTCGCGTTAGGAAATTAAAGTTCTCTGTAATTTTTAGTTTTAACATCCACAAAATGCTGATAGCACTGGCCCAACAAAACTGGTATTAAATGAAAATGCCTAACCAAATACTTTTCTCACCACTAACGTAGGAGCTCTCTGCCTTACTCCAGTATAAACCCTCATACCCTACATCACAAATACTGCTCTTTCCACATAACGCCTGTGAAATTTAAACGTTGTACATAACTGGAGTCTACCATTTGCATTAATCCAACTCATTCCTTTCTTGGTATCCAAAGGAGGCTCTCAAATGCATTCCATCATCGTCCATCTTCATTACAGCAATCTTTTGCTTTGATATCACTACGCGTTACCTAAAAAACACCACCTATTCTATCTTGGATTTTAGGTCACTGTATCTCAAAGATGTTGCCTGCCGTGTTGGGGAAAAGCTTAGGTTAAGCTGATGGCTAGCCCTCAAGCTCTGGGATTCACTCTCCAAGCAAAAACGGCACAGTTAAAACAATGTTGATAATATTTCTGAGATGTTCCAAGGACCACTGTGGCTCTAGCTACACACTGAATTTCCACTTCAAAAGCAATCCAAGTGTGACTTGGGTCCCCCTGGAAAAGCTGGTTGGGCTCAGGAAGAAGGAGGACGCAGAAAAAGGGCCCGTGGCGTCGCCTCATCTCCTCTGCATCAAACCGGGCCACGGGAGAATTTTCAATCCCAGTCCAACCTTCTCCACGTGGCCGCCTTCTCAAATCTCAGCACAGGGCCACTGATGTGGAAGTCGCCTCCCTCCTAAGCACCGATCGGCAGTGCGCGGGGATGGAAGCTAGGAATACCAGGCGCACGAACTCCTTTTCCACAGGCTGACTTTAAGGGCGACCATCACAGGACTCAGGGCTCTACCACAGCGAACGTCTCACGCTCCAGAGCGCACGGGGCATGCGCAGGAGGTAACGGCGCGCGCGCTGCGTTGGCCCCGGGTCACAGAGAGGGCGGGGCCGCGCGCCTGCGCACGCGCCTCAGGACACATAAGCGGAAGTGGCGCGCCGGCGCCGGCTCTGCGAACACCTTCTGGCGGGGCCCACTGCGGCTGCGGAAAGTGCGGGAGGAAGAGAGGAGGAAGAGGCAGAGGAAGAGGAGGTGATGGCGACGAACCTGGGGAGGGGGAGACGCTCGGTCTGGCTGAGGTGCTACCCGAGTTAGAGTCACCCTTTCAGGTGACAAACCGACTTCGGGATGGGCGTGCCCCGGCACCCTTCCAGTGCTTGGGATCCGGAGACGCTTGACGGTGTGCGTCTCCTTCATCCAGAAGGAGCGTTCGGGGGACCTTTGGGAGCAGGATGGCAGGAGCGGGTGACTCCCTTCCTTAAGGAGCGGAAACCGCCTAGCACGGTCTCCAGGGCAGAGCATCTGCTCCTCCTGGTCCCTTTACCCCCCTGGCCTGGACTCTCCCTCAGGCGCCCACCGGTGGAGTCACTGGACGAGGCGGAGTTCAGGGGTCGTTTAGGTTGTCCTCGCGGGTGTGGCGAACTGTCACTCTCCTGGATTCCCCACGACCGTGTTTGCAGTTTAAGAAACACTTCCGGGTTCTGTGTCGACGTGGGGTACGCAAAGGCACTCAGACGTCCAGTCCGTTGGTTTTGCCCTGGAAAGTGACTGTTCTCGCCAGACCATTGAGTTTGTCACCAAAAGCCCTGCAGGTTCCTCCAGGCTTTGCAGTTGAATCCTCCCCCTTTCTTTGCTTTTGAAGGAATATTGGAAATAGAAGAGGAAATGATTTGGTGTGCAACAGAATTTTTTTTTTTTAAATGTAGTGCATCTACGTTCCTTTTACGGGGGGTTATCAGACGTCTGGAACTTTGAACTCTTTTAAGTGAATTGAGATAGTTTGGCAGTTGAAAGAAATACATTCAGTATTTGAAAATAACTTGGATGGCGTTATTTGGACTTAATAATTCAATAAGATTGAGCCCTAATTTTAACTTTCTCCTTTGGGGAAAAAAGAGTAACTTAAAAAAGCTAGCAGTTTCTTCAACTTTGTAGAACAAAATATATATACAAAAAAGAGATGGAATTTTTTCTATTTTATAACCATATGCCGTAGACCATGATTAATAACCAAAGTGCCTTTACGCAAGGCATGATGGTTATACGATATGTTTGTAACATTGAATATATCAGAATACGAGTGGAATCATGTTTTTTAAGTTTTTTCTTACAGTCTACCTTTGTGGTAGGAATCTTTTAGGTTGGAAAAGACTGGATTGAGAAATAAACTGAAATCAATTTGACTTCAGTAGATCTTGTAAGTCAGTATTATCATTAAAATATTTAAATGTTCACTATGTACTGGAAATTCTGTCTTTAATTTCATTTCTGCTATTATTTGAACCTCAAAGAACCAAAGTTAAATATTTACATTTAGGAAGAGGGCTCAAGCAGCGGTTCATAGTTGTGATTTATTTCTATTTTGGTTTCAGAAGTTAGAGTGAACGTCATAGGAAAGCAAGCTGTTAACTGCTTTTAATTCCAAGTTTGATTTTCCCCTGCACCATGAGGACTTTGGCTGTTTCAGTGATAGTATCAGCCATCAGTGTTGAAATGAGAGGTAGCGGACCTGAGAGATCAGAGTTTCTCAGTATCAGAGGTCTTCACGAGTCATGGTTGCTGATTAGTAATACAAAACTGCATTCTAAAAGCAGGGCTTTAAGTGACAAGTTTTGTGGTACTCATGCCTCCGGAAAGCAGTGGAAGTGAATTTATTTCCATGTTTATTTCAAATGCTTTGTGGGAAATTTAGAAGAGATGTTGGTATTTGGCGCACATGTTTAGTGCTGGAGCAATTGGTTCTATCTGTAGCCCAGACCTGCAGCTCATGTGATTATCAGGAGGAGTAAGGATGTTAAACGGTGGGAAGGAACAGAATAAACATCTATCTATCTATCTATCTATCTATATGTTTTAAAGTCTAAAGCTATTCTTTATCCTCAAACTAGCATTTGGAGGAGAGGCCATATATGGGAGAATAACTTTGAAATACTCTATACCCAATTCTTCCAAGTAAAGCAAACAAATGAATAAAATTTTATTTCTACTGACTTGATTATATTTCTTGTGTTGCATAATCATGCCTATTTTGAGAATACAATTTTAAAACATTTGCTCTTCATGAAACATTATTCTTTGTAAATATTGATAACTGAGTATCCCAATATATGTCACTGTACAGTTTCAGTTCCTTACCTTCAGTTCCTTCAGGTCTTTCTGCTAAGTATCTTTCTGCTATCAGCTTATGGTTTGAAATACACTATAATTTGAAATGCAATATAGTTAGCAGTAAAAAAATGGTGTTTGCAAGAGTACAAAAGAGTCCTTCATTCAATCCCTTACATTTTCATTATGTGCTAGATCATATGAAGGAGAATTGTCCCTTGTCTTATGGAATTCATATATTTGTAGAAGCACACAATGAAAACCAAAAAATTATTCCATTATGGTGTTGATATCTATTAAAATACATATGATGTGCTATGAGAACCTAGGACATTAATTGATTTTTAACTTATACAGTCTTAAGGGTGTAGCATAATTAGAATTTGTATTGAACAGGGTAAAAGATGGGTAAAAAAAAGAGAGGGGGAAAATAATATGTCCATGTTTGGACATTTTTAATATGAGGTGCCAGTGGAGCTTCACTGAGGTAACAGAGAAGTATTTGGAGAGTCTAGGTTGGAAATCCAGGTCCATATTTCCAGCTACACATCAAAGGAATGCATCAGCTCCAGCACACCAGGCCAGACCAGGAATATTTCCAAAAACATGAATGATGAAAACTAACATATGGGCTGTCATAGTATATGTTAGGCACTTTTACATTTATTTCATATAACCCCAACAAAAATCCTATGATAGGTTCATTTTTAAAACTCCTTTCTGTTACAGGTACAGAACCTAAAGCTCAGAAAGTTTGAATAATTTCTCCCAAGACACCTTAGCTAGTACGTAGCGAAACCTGATCTTGAATTCAGATCTAAATTTCAAAGCATGGAGAAAGTACCATACCATGCTACCTTCTTATAATATTAGCCATAATTGTAATGAATCATTAGAATATACTTGGCGTTTTGCTGAATTGGAAACATCACATGAAAAAAAAATGACTTTATAAAAGCGTTGCCTTCTGGAGAAAGGCAGAAAAGAGATTTCCTAGTGTTATTCTGTACATGTGTATAAATACATAATCATTAGTTACACTTTTTTCTCAATCTCTGTATTCTATAAGATTTTCAGTTATACCCATAATATATGCCCACACCATAGTCCATTTTAGAAATCGTATCCAAGCAGAGGATGAGTGATTGCAGCAGAAGTTTTAAAATACCCAGAGGAAGTTTCATTTTATTTGATTCATTGATTATTAGGTGCAGGGTATTTGATGGGTAAAAGTCACAAATGTTTTGATGCCTGAGTATTGTTAGTTCCAAGTTGTATTCAGAACCTTGATCCCTCGCTTGAGTTACTAAAGAGGATACCATTAATTTCTGTTAATCAGACAAGTAGGATTTGAGTCTTGCCTTTCAAGTTCTGTCTTCTCCCAGCTGGGGAAGTTAGGGAAGGTGTCACAGAGGACATTAAACACAACAAAATCTGACCCAGAAAAAGAAGACATGAGATTGAAAGGACATCATGAACTGAAAACAAGGATCTTTGGATGTTTGTGGTATATTTCCAAAATGGAAGTTGGGAAGGGAGGGAGAAGAAGCTTAGAAACCAGTATGCTGCCAGGTTTGTTTTTTTTTTTTTGGTTTTTCTCCGGTACCGGGAACCGAACTCATGACCTTGCGCTTGCCAGGCAGGCGCTTTTGCCGCTGAGCTAAATCCCCAGCCCCGTTGCCAGGTTTATTTAAATGGTATTTATACATAGGAAATTGTTGTTAAGTGTTTTGTTACTTCTATGTTTGTTTTTTGATCAAGTGCTTAGAGAAGATAAAGCGTAATTTATAAAGAAAGTGGTACTCTACAAGATGGTATAAAAAGTCTTAGAGGTAACAATGATTGAAATATAGTGTGGGAAGAAAGAACAAAAGAAAATAATGAAAGAAACAGCAAAACTTTGTAAAACTACACATTCTTGCTTAGAAATACGAAAGGGGTTGTAAAAAACATGTTTTGTACCTGAATAGATACAATAAGTTACAGGTTGTATTCAGAGGCTTGACCCCTCATTTCAGTTGCTGAATATGACCTACTTAATCTCTCTAAATGAGCAAATTAGAAAAGACAACTGTAATTCTTACCACTTTATCATCATATGACAATTCTTTTGACAGATTTCTAAAGGGAAGCTTTCAGAATTATTCTTATGACTTCAGCCCTTAGAGTCTAAATTTTTGTTCTCATTGGAATTGTAATAATGAATCTTTTCTAGGAAAATAATTTTTCATCATAAGTGTGTTCTGTTCTTTAATTGTTACAATTCTGTAGGCTTTGCTTAACCTTTGTATGAAATTCATTTTTTCGATTTTTATAAATCCAAAGAGAAATTGAGTCATCTACAGTCCTTCATAATTTTTTTTTAAAAAATAATTTCTTTCCAGAGACTAACAAAAGATGACACATTTTCTAGTCTTTTAGTCTCTATCGACTTTTAAAATTAAAATGACTTTTTTTCCAAAGGAGGGGAAAGTTTTCTTTTAGCCTAAGTGTTGCTAAAGTGTACTATCCTTTCTCTAGCCCTGAAAAATCTATCTTATAAAACTTAACAGCTGTGTGACTTCACTTTAAAAACAGCACTAGCAAATATATTTTATAATTGTTTTAGTGTTTAATGGAACATCATATAATCCTTGCTCTGTACATGATTGACCTTATACATAAACTATTGTGAGCTTTAAAAATTACATATTTACTAGATATAAAATATATGTCATGCTTAGTTCTTTGATGAAATGAATACTAGGTTAGCTTTTAAATTATTGCTGTGGAAGTATGTACATGTTCAATTTACTCTCTTTACTGGGCAATGGTATATTGGAAAATAGTTATTGTTTTGGTGGTTTGGAAGCTGAGATAATGTATTAATATACAGACACAATCGGTTTTATCTGCAGGAGTAAAGTATACATTAAATTCTTATTTGGAGCATAATACTATAGAATCTAAACATTTTATCTTAATTGCTTATTTCCTTCTGTAGAACTTGGCCGAGCAAGAAGCAGAAGAAAGACTGAATGAAAAAGAGGAAACCAATAAAGAGAATTCCAGAAGCACTGAATGCAGCAAAATAAGAACAATGGACCTCAAGTTCAACAACTCCAGGAAATACATCTCTATCAGTGTGCCATCCAAAACCCAAACAATGTCGCCACACATCAAGTCAGTTGATGACATTGTAGTACTTGGCATAAATCTCAGCAAATTTAGCAAACTTACTCAATTTTTCATATGCGTTGCTGGAGTTTTTGTATTTTACCTAATTTATGGATATTTACAGGTAAAAAATAGCTATCGTTTGTAATATGTTAGCTATTGATAGCTTTTAATGCCACTGTAGGCACTTATTACAGGGTGCCAGTGTTCATAAGCTGGAGTTTTTATATAGTAATAGCAAAAGTTTCTTAGAAGTAAATTAATTGAAAACAAAGTTCAAATTTTAGAGTTCAATTTTAAGTGCAGAATTAGGCCATATAGGACGGTCTTGCCAAATTAATAAAAATGAATGTTTACTATTTAGCATTGCCAGGTGGGGTGGCGCACACCTGTAATCCTAGCCCTCACGAGGCTGAGGCAAGAGAATGGAAGATATCACAGTGAATAACAATTAGACATAGAGATTGAAATGTCTTAATGAAAAACATTTTTCCTTTTAGTAAAGTTAGCAGAGAAAAATGAATTAGAAATGTAACCCCTAAATTTCGTTAGATGTAATAAATTTTTTTGTTTGATTCTGTAAAACTAGGATGTGTACAGTTTTATTTTAAATTGGGTAAATTGCTGAACTACTGTTTGTAGCTTTATCAGTTTTCACTATGTAAAAACATTGCTACTCTTACATATAATTGCACATGAAGATAGTTCAAAAGAAATGGTTGGACTTTGGTAATGTGAGTGATGTGTACATGCTCATATGCACAAGGTAATAAATTTGTTTTATTCGATTAAGATTAGTCCAGATAACTTTATTAGAATACCTCTTAATGACTTACTTAAAATGACTTATTAATAATTGATATGAATGTTACTTAACAATAAAATATTATTTTAGCCAAATTAGCCATTCCCTATATAAGGAAAAGTTTTATATAATTTATGGTACAAGAATTTTGAAAAATAAAAATATTGATATGAACTGACCATGTTCCTATAGAAAAATAGGCCTGAGATGTCCAACTTCTAGTAAAACATGTTCTTTGTATGAGGTTTTGTATCAGCCACCATTTTCATAGTTTTGGGCAAATCTTTTCATTTTGGTCTTTATTTTTTAAATAAGGAAGCATAATTGGCAATTTGGTTTAGAGTTACTGTGTGTTGATTTTTATACCTGGGTATCTAGTGTCAGTTCTTGAGAAGCACTTCTAACCCCTCTAGAGTTACCCGTAAGGAGCACTGTGATTTGATTTTTGTTGGTGCTGGTGTTAATGTGGCTTGATTTCTTCTAAAATAATGTGTTTATAAGAATGAGGAAATTGATCTGCTCCCTTGAACTTAACAGTATTTGTGTGTCTTTTGACAGGAACTAATATTTTCAATGGAGGGCTTTAAGCCTTATGGCTGGTACCTTACTTTAATGCAGTTTGCATTTTACTCCATATTTGGCTTAATAGAACTTCAGCTTATTCAGGACAAAAGGAGAAGGTATGTCATTTTTTTTGTTAGTTAAAAAGTATTTTAGTATTAGTTGCATCTTTTAAAAACATTTTTTACCATGCTGAATATGCATATAAGTTACATTTTCTAATATATCTGATCATAATCTCTTTGAGTATAAATCAACAATACTTATAAACATTTATACACTGAAAAAAATAAGGTCTGTAAGTGTGATGTTTTAAGAAGAAAAAGGCTCAACTTATGGTAAAGTATGTTCTTCAAACATGACGAAGTGTTCACAGGTGTGTTTTTTATAAAGTTCACTGAAATAAGTGCGATTGTTGCAAGATGGTGCAACAGAATGGTGAAGTAAAATAATCAGTATCTGTTTTTATAGTCAGTTTTAAAATGTGAGGTAAATGTTTTATAGGATTTATCCAACTAACATTGTCAGGAAATCTGAGATCTGCATTCGTAAACATTAGAGAAATGCATTTCAGTTATTTTTATTAAAACCAAAAGTATTCATTTGACAGTATCTCTTAAATTAAGCATCTAGATTTGCAAAATATCTTGATCTATTTTTATGGCATAGTCTTTGTTTATAAACAGAAGGAGATTAGGAATTTGATCCTTTTTTGTGTAAGTGTAACAAGTAAGGTCGTCATCCTGTCATATCATACGCTAGTGTAGGAGCCCCTGTTAGGAAGCAGAGGGTGAGAGGTAAGGGCCACGCAAAGCCTCGTCTGTATTTACAGCCACTCACATTCCCTGTTTTACAGCCTGAGCTCTGCTTCATGTCAGATCAGCCGTGGCAGTGGGTTCTCTCTCATAGGTGCACAAACCCTGAACTGCGCTTGCTTGTGAGGAATCTAGGTTGTGTGTGCTTTGGAATCATCCCTAATCTATTCCATTCCCACCCTTCCTTGTCCCCATGGAAAAATTGTCTTCCAGATGGGTCCCTGGTGCCAAAATATTGGAGACCACTGCATGTATATTGCACAGTTAAAATATAATAAAGACTATAATACTGACATCCTGTCTTCTTTTATATAACTGTTGAATCCTTAAAAGGAATTTCTTGCAGAGTTTTACTTTTCAACGTAAAATGGTTTTGAAGTTTGAAGGTAATTCTACAATTTTAATTATTCAAATCCATGACACAAGATTTTCCTTTAATAAGGAACTGCAACACATGTTTCTTCATGGATCTAACTTTGCATCTCATACTTTACTGCCAATACATTCTTGCAGCCATTATGGAGAAAATACTTGAATTGAGAATATCATTGTCATACTTCAAAACTACAAAATACATCCATATATAAAAAAGTAATAACTATATTTGTCAAGACTAATACATAGAAAGCCTGATGATGCATTACCAATTGCAAACTACTGGGCTTCTGATTGTTTTTAAGGTAAAAGACACTAATGCTGCCTTTGTTATGTGAGGATGTATCACCCATTGCATTTCAGAAAGAAACCCCTCTTCCCAGCTACTCAGGTGATTTGGGGAATGGGCTGTGCTTATCCCAACAAATGATCCACATATGATCACAACATATTCAAAGCCAAAATAGTTTGGGTTTGATTTACACATAAGAGAAAGGATTGGGGAGAACTTACAGATTTAAAATAAATACAGGCCAGGTGTGATGGCACATGCCTGTAATCCCAGCACTTGGGAGGCTGAGGCAGGAGGATTGTTGCAAGTTTGAGACCAGCCTGGGCTACAAAGTGAGCTCAAGGCCAGCCTGAACTGCATAGCAACACCCTGTCTCAAAAAGACCAAGAAAACAAAACAAATAAATATAATTATGAATCAAAACCTGTTCTTTCTAAGCCGTATTAAAATTCGTTATAATGAAAATATGCCCAATCTTGGATTTCTTTTTTTTAGTACACACTCATTTCTGACTTTACATAAATGGTGTTGCTCTTTAGACTTTTAGTTATCTCTTTGCATAGTGCCCCCCATCTCTTCATAAATTTAACTAAGTAATAAGACATTAGAAAGCAAACAGGATTCTGAGTTAGAAAACATAGATTTTGGTTTCGGCCTGTTTCTTACAAGGCCCATGAAGATCTCCAGAAAGTTTTTGACTTTCTCAGTTTTATTGAGATTCGCTATGGTTATATGTAATGAAGCTTATTGTGTGTATTTCACCAAGTATTACCTTGTGTACTTTATTAATCTTTGTAATAAAGAAGATCCATCAAAATGGCTTTGGAGGAGTTTTTAAATTATAATTTGTCCACCACTCTGAAAAAAGTACTAAACAAATGAGGTACTAAATAAAAGAAACAATGAGAACCCTGGAGGCAAGCTGACGCAGTCAGCTTTCTCATTTACCAAGAAAAGCAAAGACCCGACGGAATGCCGAGAGTTTCATGAGATCACGCAGAAGTTGCTCTCAGGTGGCATCTCTCGAATGTAGGTCCCCTGAGCTTCAGCCTCATTTTCTTCCTCCCTGTACTATGCTGCTTCTCTAATGATTTCTTACAGTTCTTTGCACTTGAGTTTTTATTTTCTGGCCACCACTGTTTGCAGTTTGTCTTTGATGATGGTGATGTGTGCTGTGGCTCTTCACCAACGAAGACAGCGTGGAAACATTCACGCACACTGATGCTGCAGACAGGCAGGATGAGTTATTCCAGAGGGTTTTTGATGCTGACTATGTATTAAGTAGAAGGTCCTCAACTGAAATGTAAATGATGCACTTGAATTGCATTTTCCCAGTAGGTTATTTTGCCTTATATCTAACTGTGTAAAAGATACCAATGAATTTTGTTGCTTTAAACACAATTACAAATCCCAAAATGGAAATGATATAAAAGTACACAGTAGTATAAGCCAACTGTGTGAATAGTGTCTTATGGTGTTCAGCACACCAGTATACAGAATTACTATTTTAGACCTTTAAATATCAGTCAAAATCAGCATATGCTCACACTGTGGCTGAAAATTCTAAAGCTGCCAAATGAAGAAGTCTTGTTAGTGAAATCCAGATAGAACCAGAGTTTGAGATTATGAGGAGAAGGATAGATACTTCCTCATTAGGTTGGTGATGATAGCACTGTATGGAATGCAGAGAAGTGATTTGTACAGTTGTGGTAATAAAAATCATGTCTTGAGTTTTAAAGTCCGTGTACTTTTTTGGAGAAATTCTGTTTAGGTTATTCTACTAGAATTGATAGATGTATTTCCTGATGCTAGATGGAAGCATTAGGAAACAACTTAAAAGTTTAAAATTGGTTTAAAAAATTAGTTATAAAGTGCTTTTTGCCATTACTTTAAAACATGATCTCTTTTTCCTAAACTTAGTCCAGATGACTTTTATCTATAGCTGGAACTGCTGTTAATTCTTTCATCAGCATGTATGCCTTCAGTGAGACTCTGAGTAGCTCTCTTAATATATTTTCATGTAGTTGAGAGACCTCTTTTAGGATTGAGCAAATAAAGGTACATTGTTATTTTTGTCAACATCCTTTTGAACAGTGTTGCAGCTTTAAGAATAATGCTATTTTTACCGGTATTTCCAGAAATAGCAAGTAGAAATTAGAAAAGGAATTCAACATTTACACATTGTAAACACACTATCTTAAAGCATTATGAATCAGGTCCCAAAATGAAGATCTTAAAAATTGTCTTTTACAGAATACCAGGAAAAACCTACATGATAATAGCTTTTCTAACTGTGGGTACTATGGGGCTATCAAACACTTCCTTGGGCTACCTGAATTACCCTACCCAAGTCATCTTCAAGTGCTGCAAACTGATTCCTGTTATGGTAGGAGGAGTTTTTATCCAAGGTATAGTAATGATATATTTCCATACTACTTGAAACTTTATGACATCTGGCATTAGGAAAACACAACATTGTCATATTTTTAGTGCACTTTCTAGACACTGTAACAATTCTGTTACACAATACCAGTTAGTTGTACGATGCTTTTTGCCATTACTTTTTATTACCACAGGTTTTATAAAAATGCTGATATTTATCTGATGTTCCTCAGGATCAGTAATTTGGACTTGGAGTGAAAAAAGAAAATAGTATGTTATTTTATTTAGAGTTTAATACATCTCCACCAGTCCAGCATTCACACTAGTATACGGAATTACTTAGAAGTGCCCACAGAGTTACTTTTCCAGTTCTGTCACTCTGTCCGCCAAGGCTGCACACTACCTCCACTGCTCAGTGTGCAGTCTTTGTATTAAGGTACAACTTACTCTGAGCAGACCTTTTTTATTTTTTTGCTAACCCTGCTGGCTTATTTGTAGCTTAGTGCTCCAGCTCAGCTGTAATCTATGTGGAAATACGAGGAAAGGAGAAAGCAATCTGCAACAAGCAGTGAAACAAGTTGTTCTTATTCATCACATTAACTGCCTTGAGCAGCATTTGTGTTTTGATAATCAAGTGTTTCTGTGTCACTGAAGTTCTCATACAGCCTGACTTCATTTTATGCATGAGAAGCCATCCCCCAATAACTTGTTAAGATGAAAGTGTGTATGTCAGTAACTTACCTATCTAATGGTTCACATACAAAAAAAAAAATTAACCTCAATCCCTGTTAAATCACATTTAGAACCTCAAATAGGTATATATATAATATATATATATTATATATTTCCTCACCAAAAGTAACCCTACATTTCAGTTTTTAAACTACAGGTATAGTAAAATAACTTGTTACCTGCCTATGGTATATAATAGTTAGCAGTTCCTTTGTAAACTTAACAACTATAAGAAAATGTATAGCCCTTTTTATTACCCTTAAATAGAAAAGGTACTTATTGCTGCAAAATTCTTAAATGTGTGTGGATATGTGTTATCCTTATCAGTTTCTCCCAGCACAAAACCGTGTACTGCATAATGTTTTGGTCAGTGATGGGCTACATGTAGGATAGGGATCCCCTGAAATAGTGTCTCCTAGTGACAGCATAGCTCTTGCTCTGCGTAAGTATACTGCCTGGTTTTCACAACAACAAAGTCACCTAACGATGTCTTTCTCTAAACATACCCTTGTTGCTCAGTGCTGCGTGACTATATGTGTTTTATTCATATCTTGAATATGAAATACGATCTCATTTCTAGCTTATAAGGGCATATTGGTGCCCAGTGATATTTTATTCTTCAGAAGCTGTTCTATAACTTCCCTCATGCCTTGATCTAAGTGTTCTTCATACTTGGCATAAGATATAAAAACATATCCCTGATCTACTCGGATAAACACATAGATCTAACCCTGAACTTCATCGTTGGCATAATGAAGCAGCGCTTACGTTTGTTTCTTACAGGAAAAAGGTACAACATTGTAGACGTGTGTGCTGCGACATGTATGAGCCTGGGCCTGATCTGGTTCACTCTTGCCGACAGCACAGTTGTACCAAACTTCGACCTGACAGGCAAGCAAGTCATTTATCTTCCTAAATTTTATTATGCACATGTTAGTTTAGAGTAAGATTTTCTAAAATCTCATAAGGCTTTGAAAGGATGGTATGGTGTCTGTGATTCTCATATCTAAAAGGCGTTCAGAATTGCTATATTGGTTCTGCTAAAAATACCACAACTTGAAATACAACACTTTTTTTTAGTTCTGTTGTATTTTGACGTGATAGGAGACTGTCTAGTGAAAATCTTTACCAAGTAAACGATAGGTTAATTTTTCATGAGCTGAATTGGAAGTGTAAACCTAGGTTATAGGGGAATCACAGTAATAATTATTTTTATTCTCATTGTTTTGAAATAAGCTTTGCAACTTGTATATTTAGGAGTACTTTAGGTATATTATATACTACATGTACAGTGTTATCATTAACATGACTGAGTTTTACCAATAAGATTAAAGTAGTGTGAAATCATTAAATGACTGAGTTTTACCAATAAGATTAAAGTAGTGTCATCTAGTCTCCTAAGCTGACAGAAACAGTATTAAAAGTATCTAGATCTTCAAAGAATCTCTGGGAAAACGTGATAATAGTAATAATAACATCAGCAAATATAAAGCATAATTCCTTGTGAGGAAAAAAATCAAACCATTCGATAATGAAAAAAATTTAGTTTGTGTCAGCTTCCCTGTCCCACCTAAGACGCACATCTTACTAGTTGTCAGGAGTCTTCCCTCCTAACCTGGCTGACCGAGCTGACTCACTGAACATAAGTATAATCCATTCTGCCTCCTGGAACAGCCATTTAATTTGCACAAGACCCCCATAGACCCTCCCACCCTTTCCACTAGAGTGCTTGCACTCACTGCTTGATTTCAGGAAAAACTTAGACATACTTTCAGCTGTCTCTGTCAAGGCCTGGACTTTTTAGGAACACTTCATTCTCACTTGTTGGACTATAAAGAAAAGGACACTTGAAAACAGAAGGAATTGGCTTAATGAAACAGCAGTTTTAGAGAAGGCACTGAATTTGCAAGAAGAGATGTGGATTCAAATTGTCTTTGAATTTCTTTGAAATATAACGAAGAGTAAATTGCCAGACCTCCTTATACTTCACCAACAAAAACAGACACTCATTAGAAGTTGCATCACATGCAGCTTGTTGGGAGCGAGAGTGAGGTAGTGGAACCGTGGGTACGAAGTCACATCTGCAGTAGGAGTGGCAAGGATGACAGCATGGAAGAGGTGGCCGTGGATTCTGAACTTCCCACTGTCACGGATATCAGTTGTTCTGAGTGCTGTGGGTGTATTTTTTAAGAGGATGAGAGCCCAGCCATACTTAGTCATGAAGAATAGTAGATAAGCACCTACCCATTTTCTCATCTTTTATACTGTATTATCTAAAGGAGATGATATTAAAGTGAATAAAGACATAAATAAAATTTAAATGTGTAAATTACATATTCACACTTACTCAAATATATGTTCCCTTTAAAATATCCCTCCTAGGATACAATTTTGGTGCTTCTGTAATTTTCATTGCTGAGAACACTTTTGGAATATTCTTGAGCTGCCTTTCAGCTGTTAGGATGTTCCTTTAAGGATCTTCAAAAATCACAAGACCTTTTCTTTTTTTTTTTTTTTTTTTTTGTTTTTTCTCCGGTACCGGGAACCGAACTCACGACCTTGCGCTTGCCAGGCAGGCACTTTGCCACTGAGCTAAATCCCCAGCCCCAAGACCTTTTCTTTTGAGGATAGATTCGTTATTTGAAACCAGGAAAAGAGCATTCAGAATCAAGTTTGGTGAATAAAAATGTATGATTAGGCAATAAATACCAAAGTTAGATAACAAAAAAAAAAATCAAATTTAAGAAGTCTTGAAAATTTTTAATTGAGGGGCATACATATGTGGACATACACTTTTTTTGCTATCTGTGATCCCTTACACGTTAAGAAAAAAAGAAAGTTTCTGTAGACCCATCAGATTCGCAGGTGGTTTCCTCTTTCTGTACCTGTCCAGTGACCAGACATCCTGAATACTTAGTTACTATAATAGCCTATTCTCAAGGGCATGCACATACTTTGTGCATTGCGAGAAAGAATGGTGCTCTCGTAAGAGCTTGTATCCATTACAATTGTGTGATAACTTAATGTTGTCAAACTATTTAAACATTAATATAAAAAGAGAATTGTTTCTGTAAAAACTAAGTTAATTGAAACAGTGTTGTTGGCAGACCAGTAAAATCAGTATTGAATTATGTGCTGAGATGAAATAACTAAAAATTGAGGGGACTCATACAAAGGTGAAAGGAGTGTGTACTCCTTTGTTTCAGAGTTCCCTAGTTTGGGGTGTAACTTTAAATAGAAACAACATGGAACGCATAGAGAACATGCGTTATGAATATGGTTTATACAGAAGAAAGAGAAAACGTAGACTTCTAGTCAGGAGCCAAAGAAAAGACTTTAGCAGCTGCCTACATGTTTATGGTTTAAAATTGAACATTCTAGTAATAGAGCTTTTTCATGACTTTTCCCTTGTCCTCTGTTTTTGTTTTCTTTTGACTAACTGACTAGCCGTCAGTCCCATCAGACTTCTAAGAGCTTCTCTACTGTTTAATGTATTTTTTCAAATCTATAATGTAGAGTAAAAGTGGAATGATGGTGACAGCATTCCAGTTTACTAGAGTTCATTTCTGTTTGTTTTCATTCACCCATGTGCTCATTGCAGCTGGCTGTGGGTAAGAATAGTCAGCATCATGGAATAAATACGGTTGAAGATCTGCTTTGTTGCTCAGATCATTTAAACATCTCATGGAGCCTGATTGTAGTCCATAGTCTTAAATAAGAACACCATTTCTCTGCCTTCTTCAAGGTGTGATGCTCATTTCCCTGGCACTATGTGCAGATGCTGTCATTGGAAATGTACAAGAGAAAGCCATGAAACTTCATAATGCTTCTAATTCTGAAATGGTAAATATTCTCATGCTGTTTCTTCATATCAGACAGACTAACAATGGTGATGTACCTACTTTTATGAAATAGTTACAGCAGCAAAGACTCACATTGCATTTTTAAACTAGTGTATCATTATTCCCATCAAAGTAATACATTCAAATGTTGTGGGAAGGTAAAAGGAAAAGCTACCACTTCCATTCCTCATAACTTTCTAGCTGTTTAATCAATTTTTTTCTCACTGATTTAGTTTTTTATCTATTAAAAATTCTTGGGGCTGGGGATTTAGCTCAGCGGCAAAAGCGCCTGCCTGGCAAGTGCAAGGTCGTGAGTTCGGTTCCCGGTACCGGAAAAAAACCAAAAAAAAAAAAAAAAAAAATTCTTTGTTACATCATTTCCTCTTCTCTTTGTATTTTCTATATACAGGTTTATAATTTTCATGTTGTCCAGTTCATCTTTTCCTTCATAGCATCTGGCTATCTATCATGGTTGTAAAGGTCTTTATCACCAATTAAGATTTTACAGATTTCACGCTACTCCAGTGCAACACTGAAGCAAAAGAAAAAAAAAATGTCTTCCATATGACCACCCATTTGTCCCAATATTTATTGACTTACCCACTTTTCCAGCTTGTTCTAAATGCCTTCTTTATTATATCATATTCTCCTGTAGGGATCAGAATTGAATTCTTCAGTACATATAGCAACAGCAGTTTTATCGTACATTTACCGTCTGTTAGGACTAGCCACCATTGTTCCTTTTCTTTTTCAGAATATTACTACCAATAGTTATTCTTGGGTGCTCATATCCCCAAATACACTAGAAATCCCATTGGTATTGTGATTGGTATGGCATTGAATTATAAATTAATGTAGGGAGAATGGCATCTATACACTTGATTCTTTCAGTCCAAGAATAAGGTATGACTTTCCTTCTATTCAAGTGTTTTTCTTTTTGATGTCTAATTCTATTAGAATTTCATGTTTTCTTCATGTAAATCCAGCACAGTTATTGACGTTATTAGAGGTTTCTTCTTTTTTCTGCTGTTACTGTAAATAACATCTTTTCTCTATATAGGGCTATGCGTGTTTGTTTACATTAGTTTTATAAGAAACTCCTTGCTGAACATGGCATTAAGAACAATGTAGGTACATTCTTCCCTATTACTTCCTCAGCACAGAGTGAGCTATCCTAAATAAAATCCTAGTGACATTAATCTTGATAGGGATTTTCTTGAGCATCATCACTGCTCTTTTAAATCAGGTAAGGATAGCCTCAGAGAGAAGTAAAGAATTACTTGTGGTCAGAAAGTTAACATGGTGTAATGCTTAAGGTGGTAGCCTCTAAAGAAGAGCCTCAGCTCATATCCCAGCTTTACTGCTCTCAACTCTATATTTGAGGTTCTTCACTGGAAAACTGGATAATGAATACTGGACTAAGAACAGTTATCTCCTAGGTTGGTTGATGGAAATCAGTGGAGTAGCCTATATAGCATGGCAGCACGGTCCCTGACTCACAACAGGTGCGAAGTTAGGTGCTGCTGTTGCTGCCACTGGTGTTTATGAGCCCTGTAATAAACCAGGGCCCAAAGGTTGGTAGGAAAATAGAGACATGAAGCAATAGATATGCCATAGACTTCGAACTTTCATTAGGTATCAGTATCTTTTGCAAACTTAATATTTAGGGTTTTATATGTAATTTATAAGGGTTTCTTTTGCTGGTAACATTTTTGAAATGCTGACATTAAAATCTGGCTTGATTTCAGTAATTAAGCTTAACAAGAGCAAATAATCATGTAAGCATATATGTAAAATCTGCTTTGCTGTTATTTGTTATATAAAACAAGGAATCAACTTGTAAACTATTAAAATCAACCATTATTTCCAAAAAGTTAGGCCACATAGAAATGATATTATTGTAGAACTGTTTTGTTCTGTGAACGTAATTGAGTAGATCAACTGAACTATATATTTAAAGCCCTTCAGTTTTGCACTTTTGATTTGATAGTGCTTTTATACACTATTTTGTCTACTCTAGGTTTTGTACTCATACTCAATCGGTTTTGTATACATTTTATTGGGATTGACAAGCACTAGTGGATTAGGCCCTGCAGTGACATTTTGTTCAAAGGTAAATGTTAAACACTTTTTTTTTCAATAAATATCTTCTGTTAAATAGTTTTCTCTATATTTCTAATTCCCCTGGTTCAAAAAAGGCTATTGTTGATATAATTTAATAACTCCTCAAATGTAATGTTGCAGATCAGAAATTATTTCAGAAATGAAATGATTGGTATTTAAATTTATTTTATCCTTGCTCTACCCTATAAGTTAATTTTTAAGTGGTTCATGATATAGAGTGGAGGATTTTAATTTCATTATTTTCCCATTAAATCAAAACTAAATAGCTTTGCTTGACTGCATTGTCAAATGGCTTATTATTGCTCAAGAAGTTGATTAAAATCTGTGGTTTTATTTCATGTATAATACCTCAGGGTTTGTTTTGTATTCATCTAACAAGCTTTTCTATTTCTTGCAGAATCCAATTCGGACCTATGGCTATGCATTCCTTTTTTCCCTCACTGGGTACTTTGGAATCTCTTTTGTTCTGGCACTGATTAAGATTTTTGGTGCACTTCTTGCTGTAACAGGTAGGAAGGATTTACTTGGTTTGACTATGAAATAAGTATTTGCATTTTCTCTGATGATCTTTTCCAAAAGATAAGGGCAATACCATCTCCTCATTAAACAGAAATTATATTTTACCAGTTTATTCTTTGGTTTCTGATGTTTCTTTAAAACTCTATAGAAAAGAGTATTTTATCTTAATTATCTGTTTTGAAGTTTTAAACTTTTTTTTTTTAAATTGTTGCTGGAGGGGCTGGGGATTTAGCTCAGCGGCAAAAGCGCCTGCCTGGCAAGCGCAAGGTCGTGAGTTCGGTTCCCGGTACCGGAGAAAAAACAAAAAAAAAATAAATAAATAAATTGTTGCTGGAAATCAAACCTATGGCCTTGCTCATGCTAGACAAGTCCTCTGCCACTGAGCTACAACCCTAGTCGTGAAGGTTTGATTTTAAGATCAGATGTCAGTCTTGAAACACCTTAGAACTTGCTATTCAAGTATGATGGGGTGAATACTTTCAAAGAAAATACTGCCTTTACATGCTTTTAGTTTATTACTGTTCCAGTTTTCTTGTTTTTTGAGTGTGATAGGTGCATTTTAAACAAAGCTTTTTAGACCCTTTCCTTTCATACACCTTTTAGGACAGCCACCGGATTAGGTTTGCTCATCCCTGGTGATAAATGGCCACGTGCTCTGGGCAGGGACTTTGCTCAGCACTCTATAGGAATGGAAGTTGTACTTGGGAAAGTTGCTTTGCAGGAATGTACAACAGTGCAAGGGGAACCCCTCGTGATTGGGTGTGCTGTGTCATTTCCTAGAATTGTGGAATACTGCCATTGTCTTGACAGTGTAGGCAGGTTTTTTGGTTTTTTGGTTTTTGGTTTTTGTTTTTCTGGTTTTTTGTGTGTGTGTGTGTATGTTTTCCTCACTCTTGTAAAAGAAAGCCTGAGGTGGTAGTAGTAATACCCAGTACATACATAGCCTTTATTATGTACCAAAAGCCACTCTGCATATTTTATGTATATTAATTATTTTAATCTCAGCACCATGCTGAAAAGTATGCCCTGCATCGTTCCACTTTACACATGGATGAGCTGAGGCACAGGGAGGTTAAGGGGCTTGTCTGCTGATCAGCTAGAGTCAGGAGGATTCCTGAAAGATTCTGTGGCTTCCCATCTGCTGAGCGGCTGTCTGGCTGCCACGGCGCCTCCATAGTCATCAGCAACCGGGCTGCTCCTTTCTGCTGTGCTAACTTCATCCTCCTGCGAGGCAGTGGGATGGAGTGGAGAGGGGGAAATAAACCTTTCTCTTTCTGGAAACCTAAAAAGCCACACTCACAGATCCCTGCACGCAGCCTCGTCACCTTCCACGCCTGGCTGTAGGAGGGCCTGGAAGGTACGCGCAGCTGAAAATAGGTGCCCTTCTACTTAAAACCGATACTCGGAGTCAGGCCCTTACACCTTTCCAGAGCAGCTTCTTCACGTGTTCATTTCTTCGTGCATTGCGTATAGAGTGCCAGGAAGTGTGGTGTCGGGCTATACAGATGAATACGGTCAAGCTGTAAGCTGCACAGCAGCAGGAGCAGTGACTGTTGGTTAGTCGGGTGATTTTTAGTTTGTGTTGTTCCCGGCACCTCGCGTAGGTTCCCTGGCATATACTTGGCTGTACATATTTAGCAAATAAGTGATTTCCAGAATTTTAGTAAGGGAGTAATAAGCACATTCTAAACCAGTTTTTTGCCCCTACAGTGACAACAGGAAGAAAAGCAATGACCATTATACTTTCATTTATATTCTTTGCTAAGCCCTTCACAGTTCAGTAAGTACTTTTTATTGCATTTCTTCATTTTTAGATACTGTTTCACATTTCCTCCAGAAAGCCTTATTTTCAGCATTTACTTTTTGTGCAGTGTGTTGATTGTTATATAAATTAATGTATATTTTTCCCTGTTGCTCTATAAAGAATCCCTTTCATCTTGACCTTGTATCTATTGATAGGTTTTCTGCTGTCTTAGAAATGTTTATCATTTGCTGTCTTGAATTTATTGTTTTCTATACTTAAAGTGCAAAACCAGAGTGATGTTGTTTCTAATAGGAATAAGTGTGAATGGTGTGCAAACTATTGAGAATAAGGAATTCCCCTTACTCGTGTGCAAATACCTTAGTTACGTATTTGCAGGACATGCTTTTAGAACTATTTGTTTATTTGTGGGCTCTCTCCACAAAGGATTTGCAGTAGAGAGGTAATCTATAAGTTGTGTCCTAATGACTTAACTTTGGTTTTGACTTTTTATAAAAGCATCTACTCTTTTCAAAACTATCTGGTGTTTGAAGTTGGCATTATTTAAACGTATGTTGGCTGATAATTATGAAGTTTCAAACCTAAACTTAGCAAAATATAGGTTAGAGTGACAGTAAAATTTTCATCACTGTACTGTAGAATATCGGTTGTCTACAAATTTTTACATGAGTGCGGTATACATTATAGTAATTACATTACAATGATTGGTCTGCTTCCTGAGGGATATATCATCCTTTTTTATCCTTTTATGTTCTACCCACCTGAGGTAACTAGTTGACTATGAGTTGAATCCCAAGTTACTTATCCATTGTTTTAAGCCTTTGGTTGGGGTTGGTCTTTGTCTACTGTGATCCTCAACATGTGCATGAACCTCATTTTGTGTAATATTTTGTAAAATACATTTTCTATATACATTCAATATAAAAAATATGAAATTCTGTTCTATCTAATCTGACCAAAGAATACTACTTTTATTGTAACAGTGTTATTGTAAGGCTCTACTAGTAAAATTTTATTCTATTGAATAATTACTGTGAATCGATCATGAATTCTGTTAACAATAAAGCGTTAACCTTGTTAATTTTAATAACCTTTCTTCCATTTCTCTCATAGGTATGTGTGGTCTGGCTTATTAGTTGTCCTTGGCATATTTCTCAACGTGTACAGCAAGAATATGGACAAAATAAGACTGCCGTCAGTGTATGATCTGATAAAAAAGGCAGTGGAAATGAGAAAGACAAGGACGTTGGCACAGACGGTATAAGTACTGATTTGTCCTGTTAAAAAATTGTAAGGGAAAAATCAGTAATGAACTTTTCAAAAGAGTGTGTCCCAAACCAAAGGATCCGAAGGCATGCTATCCATTGTGGATGGGTCATGTGTGAAGTGGTTTTGTGGCCTCAGCCTTTCTTCAAAGCACTTGTTTTACTCTTTGACTTCTCAAAGAATCAGAAGCTGCAGCTAGCACAGCTTATGGTAAAATGTCACTGTGAAGGGTTATCCTAGCAGCTTCCTGAGAATTTCACTGGCAGCGGACCATGTTGCAAGGCCAGCTGGATATCATTATGACACATCAAAGACGTTGACATCTAATAACACATTGTTTTGTCGTCATTTCTTTTTGCTGGTGTTACTTGAATTGATTCTCTGTTATAAGAGTAAGTTGATGATTTAAGTCCAGGGAGAGTAATACTCATTATAAATAAAACTATCCTGTGATATTTTTAAGGGATGTGTTAATAGGATTTTGTTAAAGAGGGAGGTAGAGGTTGGAGTAAAGTTCAATATGTGCTGTAAAATTTAGGTCTTGTTCTCATACTAGAAAAGTATCCTGAGAAAACACAGCTGGTTTTATGCAGAATGTAGGCAAGACAGTAAAAGTCATTACCATCTTGCATCAGTAAGTATATATAGCAAGAATAATTTGCTACTGTTCACAAAAGAAGTGCTGAAAGAAGAATGATTTGGATTTTTTTAATTGAAGAGAAAGTAATTGTCGTAAATTATTATCAAGTAAAATCCTAGTTTTTCTTACAAAAGTAAAATTCAATTTGAAAGTTTGAAGATGAGGTAGGATAAACTTAACAAGTAGATTTATAATAGACAGTATTTTCTCTCCATCCATTCAGGCTATTGTAACAATATACCATAAACTGGATACTTCACAAACAACCAAAATTTCTTTCTCACGGTTCTGGATGCTAGGAAGTCAAAGGTGGAGGCGCTGGCCAGTGTGGGACCTGCTGAGGACTGCCCTCTGGTTTCAGGGGTGGTGCCCTCCTTCCATGTCCTCATGCGGCAGCCAGTAATCCATTTCATGAGTTCTGCCCAGTCATCTCCCAGAGGCTTCCTCCTAATACTATCACCTTGGAGCTTAGAGTTTCAACACGGATTGAGACCAGGACCGGGGGGTTCGGGAGACATAAACATTCAGTCCATAGCAAACTGCTTACATAGTTTTGAGTCTAAACTGGTAAAGATTTTAACCCTCTTTTTTAGTGGTAATTTTTGGAATTGGTTCCACTATATTTAAAAAATATCCTGTTAATCTTCCTTTTCAATATAAATGCTGGTGTCAAAGAAGCTATAGTAATTGTACTACTTGGAAGGCTTTTATATCATGTGATAATAGGGGTACTCAGTCTCATTCTTAAAATTTCATTGTGCTCTGATGGATACTTCACCCTGCTCTGTGCACGTGTGGTATGGCAAAGCCTATCAAAATGGAAGTGTTCTTTATTTCTTCACATTCTGTCATACTCATTTTTTAATCTTTCACATTTTAAATGGAAGGTTCTTAATTTGTATTTCATGACACTGCCTCAGTCTCTTAAAACTATAAGGATTTGTGCTTTAAAAAAAAGAAAGCCAAGCATGGTGGTGCACACCTTTAATGAGGCTGAGGCAGGAGGACTATGAGTTTGAGGCCAGCCTGGGCTGCATAGCGAGACCCTGTCTCAAAAGGACAAACAGAAAAGGAGGAAACTTGAGTTTACTTTTCCAAATCCTTGATAAAATATAATTTTCACTTCGAAGGCATTCTTTACCCGCATTTTTCTAATGTTTTACCTGTAAACCTATTACCTACTCAGCAACCCATTTACAGTTGTAAACAATGTTTTAAAAATGACTGCCACCCTTACCCTTTATACTCCATTGCCATTAGATGGAGGTAAATTTCCCCTCACTTGTAGGGAATATGAAGTAATAGAATAGTTCCTATAATAAGGAAATCAACATTGACTTCAGGCCAGATTTTATATGATCTTTTATGAATATTATTTGATCTCAACAGCTGAAATAAGTGAATTGAGAATGATAGCTGCAAGTATTGATCTTTAAATGCTTATTAGGCGCCAGGCCCTATTATACATGCAGTATGCACAGTAATTGACGTAAGCCTCAGAACTTCTCTGTTGGAGAATTACTTTCTCACCTCGCAGAATGATGCTCGAGTCCTGCATGGCCAGAGCTGCTGTCCCTCAGGCAGTCTGTGCTGTACTCTTTACTGCTTCTCTAAGTAGATGCAACTATCAGCGCTTACATGTTTGCAAATACAAAGGGAGAAGAACCAGACTCAATACTTACTAGTTCCAGATCCCACTACTCCATAGCGGCAGACTGGATTTCAAGTCCAGCTTTATTGTACTGCATATTTTCTGTGGTCTGTACCCTACTAGGAGCATCTAACTGCAGCAGTGACCCAAATTAATGTAAAAAGTTGTGTGGTCTCAATATTTCCCGACTGAAAGTGAAATGTTAAAACCAGTCATGTGGGTCACATAGGGAATCTTCCACAGAAGCTTACACTGAAGCTTGGGAGGGCTTCCCTGGCTGCTATGACACGTCCCACTGCCGAGAGTGATCCATCCCAAGCCTGGGACCTAAGTGTGCGGCCCTCTTAAAGCTTGCCCCAGGGGTCTGCCTTGACCGCTGAATTTCTAACCTTTACAGTAAAACTGTGAGAGGAAGTAAACCTTGTCGTGCATTCCAGGCGTTATTCTAGTGGGCTAGACAGGAGGGGATGTGACCTGAAGTGCCAGTGGCCTTGCCACTGGTGTCTGCAGTGCAGGCAGTCCTAGAGACCGTCCCCTTCCTCTGTAACATCTGACTACCTGTGGGTAGCCAGGATCAGCTTCCCACCGCACGCTTCACGCTTGTTAACAGTTGTTAAATGACAGCATTCTCTGGCTGTTGCCTAATGGTCTTAATTTTTCCAGATGATGTTTATCTTAAACCCACTTCATATTCTAGATTTTGAACCTGTTTTACGTTCTAGCTTCTTGTGTGGTCAAAAAGTATAGCATCCCAGTAAAATGTGAGCAGGATAATGAACCAGTAATACAGCTAACCCGGTAATACAGCTTAGCTTACTAAAGGTACCTATGCATTACCAAATCACATTTACTCCTAACTACAAGGTTAGCAAACTACCAAGTTGTACATCTTGACATTCAAAATCTTTGCTATTGGGGCTGGGGGTTTAGCTCAGCGGCAAGGCACCTGCCTGGCACGTGCAAGGTCGTGAGTTTGATTTCTGGTACCTGAAGAAAAATCAAAATCTTTGCTGTGTACTTCTTTCCTCATTAAGCACATGACACATTTTCCCTGCTATTTGAGCAAATGTTTTTGATATTTTCACTTATTCTGCTTTTCATTGGTTTTTATTGAATGTCATTGTACTTGTTTGTTGAACTGACCATCTTAACTTTTATTATCAGGTAAGGTAGCACCCCTGAGATGACTGCTTTTTTACTACGATATTATTTATCCATCCCTTGCTACTGGGCCAATTATGAACCATGCTAGATTCTGAGGATGCAAAAACCTAAAAAAAAAAAAAAAGAAATACAACACCCCCTCTTGAGGAGCCCCAGTCTTGAGAAGATTTTCTATAATTGTGGTGTAAAAATACATAAACTGAGTTGATTTCCTTGTAGTCATAGGCTGTCATATTATTAGCCTTCATTTTTCAAAATATTTCTGCATCATTATAGTATGTTTACAAAACTTAATACACCTGAAGGATATTGTTTAGAATAGTGGATTTTAATCCATAGGGTTGTGGTAAGGCCTGAGAACAGTACCAGCTAGCTCCAGGCAAGCTGATGCTGCCCTCTGTGGCCCACGCTTAGAGTATCAAGGAACCAGCAGATGCTTTGCAGTGTCAAGACATCTGAAATTTTATTTGCACCTGCTTTTCTCCGATTTGCATTTCAAACTTCCCTGTGCTTATCCTCCCTTAGTCTGTTTGAGCGGAAATCTTACATTGCTGCAGTGTTGCCGGCATAAGTGAAAAGAGTTCTTTCATCATGGCAGGTGTTTGAAAGATTTAGTATTCATTACTTTCTCTAGAAATCACTGTTCAAAAGTCTTCTCAAAAGTAAGATAAGCCAGTAATGCCTTCCCAGTCATGGTGTGTTCTTTTAATTTCATGGCACGCAGTTAAAATGCTGTTTGGTAGTGAGATTATGGAGAAAATGTTCACTTCAGCGGCCCGCTGCTCTTTCAGAGTGAACTGCGTATTACAGTTGTTAGGGAAGGAGGCCTTAACACTGACGGGATTCTTCTGCGACTTAATCACAAAATGTGTTTTATTAAATATCAATCCTATGATGCACCCAGATTTCTAAAACATAATGAGGCCATTTCAATCAGCTTTAATATAATTGAAATAGATAAGTAAAAGTGGATAATTATGATAGCTGTAAGACATTGGTGTCTGAGAGCCAGGCGTAGTGGTGCACACCTCTAATCCTAGCAGTTGGGAGGCTGAAGCAGGAGGATCATTGGGAGTTTGATCATTGGGAGGATCATTGGAGTATCTGAAACTGTGTCTCAAAAAGACCAAAATAAAATTAAAAATACACTGGAGTCTGATTATCATTGTAGGACTCTATAGTTTTCACTTACTGCCAGTTATAATGAAATGAATAAATAGATGAATTCAGATGTTAACTATGTTTCATTTCTGACTCGACAATACATAACCAATTAGGAATTGTTTGAGCATTAATTTATTCATGAAGACAAGTAATCATCTCTTCTTTAGTGTTTATATTTTCACTGATAACGTTGGTCTATGATATCTGTGGCAAGCAATGCAAAATCCTAATGTATGAGGGTGTTTGGATGTTTGGACACCTGTCATAAAGTCACAGAAGATGACTGAAATGTTTGCACTCAAGAAGGTTTGGTAATACTGTGTATAGCTGTTTGAAATGCCAGAATGAGTTCTGACTCTTCCAGGTTTTTCAAAATATATTTTATCTGTTATTAGCCATTTGACTAATAGCCAGTACTACTGGCTAATATATTTTGGAAAAAAAAAAATTGTGTCTTTTTTGTTTTCTCAGTTTTGGCCTAAAACATGTTTGTACTTGTTGACTTGTGTTTTTTTAACATTGATTGGCATATTCAAAGTTACTCTGAGCTTACCTTAAAAAAAAAAAAAAGAAAAGGTTTGATCTAAGAGAATGGAGCTAGCGGAAATTTACTAGAAAGTATCTGAAAACTATAGTTGGCCTCAGGAAGATAAAAAATGTGTCTTAAGGTTTTCTGCCATTATAGCAAATGGCAGAATGGACCTAAATCAATTTTGCTGAGTCTGGATCCTAATACTTAGCTGATAACTCCACATTCTGGAATCTCTTCCCTCCTCGGCCACCCCACAAGCAGGATAGGATTGGCATCCTCTCCCACTATTTGTCCTCCAGAGGGCTTAACAC